GTTGTCGCTTTTCCGACGGCAGCCGTACTTGGTGTACTGGATGCCTGGGGGGTGGCACAGTGTGGGCAGTGAGGTGACGGGTGTGGGGCTCACACTGGGTCCCCACCAGGTCCCTCTCCTGCATTCTGCAGGAACGAGGGCTCTCAGATGTCACTGCTGGGGTGCGACCCGAGCGGTGCATCACTCAGGCTTGCAGAGGATGCTCACGTGGATGCTGGACCCCCCCCAGACTCAAGCTGCCACCGGGTGCAGGTGTGCTCATTGCAGTTTCCCTGCTCATTGCAGGGCGGTTGGACTAGATGACCTTTAAAGGTTCCATCCAAGCCAAAACATACTGTAATTCTATAACATCTTGCCCATTATTTGAGGATCGGATCCCACTGGCCATGTGGAAGCAAGGCTTTCATCAGCAAACCCCACAACACCAGTGTATGGGTACACATGCTTCTTCCCAGAGGGAAAAACCCAGCAATAATCCTGCCAGGAGCTCCTGTGTGCTACCTGCTGCACCTCCCAGCACTTCCTGGTGTGTCCACACCTATGGGTTAGGGTTAGGGAGCTGGTCATCTGCAAGATCTCTATTCCTTGGCTCAAATCCAGTTAAAAACAACCAAGGAATTCAAAAATCATAGCAGGCCCACGGATAGACAGGCAAAGGTTATGCACACACGATCGTGTAAGCCTGCTTCTGTAAGAAATCTGGCTAAAATGCTCACCTAAACTGCTCTGCAATAATTTTTCCAAGCCAGAGACACCCCGAAGGGCTCCCACACCCTCTAATGTGCCCAAGCATCCCTCCCAAGCACGCACTGCAGGCTGCTATGAAAGGGAAAGCTACCTCCTCCGCACGCCTTGGAGCACTGGGACCAGCTCTTGAGGGCCCACTCGTAGGAATCCATCTCCTCAAGCAGGACGTTGTTGTTTCCGATCATGGGCAGCAGGTCCTCGTGGATGATGTACCTGTACATCAGGCTGCTCCTCGCCTCCTCCTCCTGAGGGATGACCTGCAGGCACAGAGGGGGAGAGGGGGAAGGAGTGATGCCATGGGAGAGGGAAGGGAAGAGGAGGCTATCAAAGGATGAAATAAGTAATCAGTGACCACGTGGTATAGTGGCCCATGCCCAAAACCAGGGGGGGATACAGGGGTGGATGGGAGCACAGACCTGCTCTTCCCTAGGTGCCCAGGGAACTCAATCCCTAACTCTCCCAAATGCCACATAACTAAAATGGGACATAGAGTCGCAATCAATTGCTGCACAGAGCCAAATGCAGCTGGACTCAAAGGCAAGTGCCCAAGCATTGCCTCCTTATGCCATTCTTGCATGCAGCCCATTATCCCTCGCTTTTGGCTGGCTCATCCCCTGGATTTAATGATGTGCCTTACACCTTTTCTTTACCAAAGTCTTTTCGCCACTTCCCACCTCAGACCACTTGCCCTCTCTGTGACAGTCACCCCCAAGCCCCCCAGAATACATCCAGTCAGCCTTACCAAAACACTGATGGCCTCATGCAGGGGACCACTGGTTTTCAGGCTCTCCTTGTCCTGTTCAACAGTGTATTCCCACTCCAAGCCCATCTCAATGAACACTTGGCTTTTGGTTTCTTTGCCCTTGGCATTCAGGATGAAGTTACCCGTGGCTTGATTCTTAACAGCTGGAGGAGAAAGGAGGTATTTCAACATCATTCCCTCTGGTCGCTGCCTTTGGAGGACTGGAATGACCCAAATAAGACCCTTCTGGGTGGGAATTATCAGAATAGGGATGAAAAAGAGCGAAGGCAGAAGTGGACTGCAGCGTGCTCACCGATGCTGTGGGATGCTGGCTCCACCTCTTCTATCTGAAGGTGCCTCGCTCCAGCCGGAATCTCAAACATCTTCAAAACACCTACTGAAAGGGAGGGAGGAAGGGTGGAGGAAGAGAAAGAGCAGGTGTGTTCCAGCTGGACACATATGTGAATCCAGCTGGGTCTGACCAAATCTGCTCCCAAACTCTCACCTGACTGCTTGGGGGTCTTGGCCAGCGTGCCCTTCACCGTCCGGCAGTGGGAATTGTCCCCCCCACAGACCCCACACTTGTCATCCTGCTTCAGGGAGCCAACCTCCTTGTCACAGCCCACGTGCTGTCACCCATGGGGAAGAGAGAACAAACCCAGGGTTACATCCCTGCAGCCCAGCCCATTACCCTGCTGCCCCCTTGGTTGCCCACAGGGCTAAAACACGTGTCCCTAAGGGGCAATGGGTCAAGGAGGTGCACAAGTTCGGGCCTGGAGAGGGGAAGGACAGGGAGAACCCCACGGCAGCTCCTCACCACGCACTCGCCCCGGACGCAGATGCTATAGGGGTCTCGGTAGCTGCACCGTGTCCCGTCGTGAACGACCTGGTTCATGAACACCACGTCCCCCGTGCCCTCAGACTGGCAGATCAGCTCACACTTCTGAGCATCTGTGGCAAAAGAAAGAGGAAAGGGGGAAAAAAAGAGGGGGGGAAAAAAGGGGGTTTGTGGAAATACATTAGAGCGAGTGAAGGATGAAACCCATCTCAGCTCATATCCCTGAGCACACCAGATTTCCAAAGCCCAGGTTATTCATGTGCCTGATCTCCCACGTCCATTTGCTGCTCAAAAACCTGCATTTTTGCCTAGTACACTCAGGAAATTAGGAGAAGGACGGGACACACTACATGACACTGCAATGCAAGATGGTCCTGGCTCCCAGCCCAGCCTGGAGCAGACGTTCCCCACTGCAGCTCCAGGAGCAAACAGGCAGCTCTGCCATGGAGACAGGCTGAGAGAGCTGGGGATATTCAGCCTGGAGAAAGGAATGCTCCAGGGAGACCTTATAGCTCCTCCCAATACCTAAAGAGGTTCCAAGAGAGCTGGAGAGGGATTTGGGACAAAGGAGAAGGGCCTGGAAGGACAGGACAAGGGGGAATGGTTTAAAATTGACAGAGGGCAGGGTTAGATGGGATATTGGGAAGAAATTCTTCCCTTACAGGGTGTGGAGGCCCTGGTACAGGTTGCCTGGAGAAGCTGTGGCTGCTCCATCTCAGGTTGGACAGGGCTTTGAGCAACCCAGGATAGGTGTTCCTGCCCACAGCAGGGGGTGGAACAAGGTGATCTTTTAGGTCGCTTCCAAACCAAACTGCTCTAGGATTCTACGATTTTAAAGACTTGCCTTGTTGCACAATAGTCTCCAGCTCAGCCTCTTCCCACCACCCACCACCAGTGCAGCTGGCACAGCCTCCATCCCCTGGTGATGGCCACAGCCTCCTCTGGGAGGGGAGGCAGTTTGGTTACAGCTCCTTTGCCAGGACCTGCCGCCACTCACCATCGTGGTGCTCGTAGGGAAGCCAGGAATGTTTGCTGTTCTGGTGGGTGTAGTAGGAGTTGCGCTTGGAGCACTGCTGGGCACGGAAATCCTGGTAGGGCCCCGGGCACTCCTCGGCATTGCACACCTGGTGCTCGTAGGTGGCACCCGGGCAGTGGCGCCCACCATATGCCGGGCTGGAAAATAAATGCAGCGGGTTATAAGAGCGCCGGAGAGGGGAGGATGTTCAAACCCAACACAGCTCAGCAGGCACAGCTCGCACAGGAACAGATGTCCCCATCCTTGCCAACACAGGGAAGAGCCAGGAACCTCTGGCTCTCGGCCACTTCCAGTTTTACCCCTGTTGAAAGGGAGGGAGGAGAGATCCAGACGTACGGCGGGTTGTCGCAGCTCCGGCTGCGGGATCGCACACCTCCCCCACAGGTCCTGGAGCACGAGCCGAACTTGGACCAGGAGCTCCAGCTGCCGTCCTGGCTGTACGGCTGCTCCGACGTCTTCCAGATGCAGTGGCCCTTGAAGCACCACTGGAAGGGAGGAGGAGGAGGGGTGAGCTCCCCACCTGCCTCTTCCAAAGTGCTCAGTGAAGAGCCCTCCAGCATCCAAGTACTATAGGAACGGTGCAGCACAGGAGGAAGGTGCTCTTCAGTGTGCCCTCGGGCACATCCCCCTCCAGAGGAAGCAGGACCAGCCCCTACCTTGCCCGGAGAGCACTCAGTCCCATCCAAGGGTGGTCCCTTCTTGGTCTTGCAGAAGTAGGGGTTGTCCGGGTGGCTGCACCAGAGCTGCTTGCAGGGGTCGAAGGTGCGGAACTGGGGAGCACAGAGGGGCTGGGCTGGGACAGCAGCAGCAAGTCCCAGCAGGCTCGTGGCACCCAGCCCGGCTGGGGGTCCCGGGGAGGGGGCACGGCGCGGCTGTACAGCCCGTACTCACCGCCGTGCACGTCTTGTAGCCCACACCGAAGTCGAAGCGGCACTGCTCATCCATGGAGTAGTTGATGCCTGGCAACTCGGGTAATGTGGGCCACTGGTGCTCAAAGGGGTCGTCCAGGAGGCAGTCGTAGGAACTGCAGAGACACAAGGCAGAGTCGGACGTGGAGCATTTCCCTCCATCACCCCCATCCCTCAGCTCCGGGCCTCTCTCCAAATTCAGGTTTTGATACATCTGAATTATCACGGAATTCTAGAATGGTTTGGGTTGGAAGGGACCTTAAAGCTCATCTCATTCCAACCACCTGCCACGGGCAGGGACACCTCCCACTAGACCAGGTTGATTCAAGCCACAAAGTGGCCTTGGACACTTTCAGAGATGGGGCAGCCACAGCTCCACTGGGCAATCTCTGTCAGGGCCCCACCATCCTCACAGGGAAGAACTTCCTAACCTCTAATCTAACCCTACCCTGTGTCAGTGGGAAGCCATTCCCCCTTGTCCTGTCCCTCCAGGTCCTTGTCCCTAGTCCCTCTCCAGCTCTCTTGGAGCCCCCTTAGGCTCTGGAAGGGGCTCTCAGGTCTCCCTGGAGCCTTCTCTTCTCCAGGTGAACACCCCCAGCTCTCCTAGCCTGGCTCCAGAGCAGAGGTGCTCCAGCCCTCGGAGAACCTTTGGCTACAAAACACCACCAGTCACGCCACCTAAAGGGAGAACCTCCCCTCCCAGTTCGGATTGACTCACTGGATGTAGCGGTTGAGCTCCTGTTTGCTGCAGCGGGACCAGTGGTAGCGGTGGAAGGCGGCCTGGACCAGCGGGGCCATGATGCTCCCCATGCTGGTCTCGTCGGCGCAGCGGTTGCCCTGCCCATCGTGCTCCATGCCTAACCTGGTGGGAAAAGGGATTTCTGCCCCAGCAGAAAGCATGCTGTGCAAAGCAAGGGGCTCCCACCATGCTTGTCGGACGGGCACAGCCCGCTCTGCCCCCGTGACTTACACGTGCCCGGTCTCGTGGGCCACCACGAACGCCGAGGAGAACCCGTCCTCGTGGTTGAGGGTGCAGCTGCGGAGAGGGTGGCACATCCCCGTCACTGGAGCGTAGCCTGGGGCAAAGAGAAAAGGGAAGGAGACAGGAGGAGAGGAGAGAGAAAACCTTTGAGAGAGGAGGGGGAAAAATGACAAATTAAGAAAAAAAAGAAAAAAAAAGGCAACAAAAACACAACCTGGCTCCACCGCGGCAGGAGGAGATAACGAAGAGGAAGCCGCTGAAGAGGAGGAGCTGCCCACGCAGCTCAGAGGGCAGGCCAAGGACTCGCTCACCAGTGTGATCACCCCCGTGCCAAAAGCCAGCTGAGGTTGCTCTGAGGCTCACAGGCACCTCTCTGCCCTCGTGCCAACACCCCTGGGCAGGCAGGAGGGCACCCTGTGTGTGCTTTATGGGTGCAGGTCACCACCACCTCCCAGCCCAGCAATGGCACCCCCCACGCCATTCTTCAGTTAGAACAAATAAAGAAGAAAGGAAGGGAGAGAACGAAAGGCATGAGGTGTCCCCCAGAGAGCCCTGCCAGAACCACAGCCCTGCTCCCCTGGAGTGCATCCACACGTGTCCCCAGAACCACACACCGCCCCGGCCCCCAGCCCTCGATCAAGTGCAGTGCAGTGGGGCAGCTGTGGGCAGGGAAACCTTCCCCTGCCCAGTCAGCATCACATCACCTCCAGTTTGGTCACTTTTCCTTTTTTTTTTCCTCACGTTATTTCTGCCCAATTCAATCAGCTCGTTGGCACACTCCAGAATTTACTTTCCGAATAGTTTTTATATAAATATGTGTTGGGGTTTTTTTATGATCGACCCTTTTTGGCATCAAGGGGGTTAGTGAAGGAAGGACTTACAGGTCCAAGAGGCAAAAGCAGGGCAGGACCATGCTGGATAACTGTGCCCTGGGGATAGGCATGCTGCAAGAGGAGAGCTCTGTGAGCCAAGAGGGAGGAGCTGAGCTGCAGCAGGACAAGGGGTGGTGATGAGCTGAGGGTGGATGCACACCTGTCCTCCTGTACTCACCCCGGCCAAACCACGGGATCCACAGAGCCCATCATCCTCGTGGGATCCTTGCTCCACACCAAGGCAAGACCCATAATTGGGTCTAACCACACAGTAATCAGTCAAATCCTGGATAAATCATTTTAAAATATTCCCCCTCAACAAAACCTTCCACAAGAAAGAGTAAAGATGTGGGAAGTTTTCTGTATAAGGGAAGAGCAAATATATTTTGTCTAGGATGAAAACAGGATAAATTCCTAACCAAAGAGGCTCTGAACAGGGGATGGGATAAAGGAATATGAAAGGGTGGATGCTCAGTAATGCAGATACTGGTCTTTCATAATGAAGATCCCAGTAGGAACTGGAAGAAGTATAAAGGGTTCTCTACAGAAGAACGACGGGGAGAAGTAACTGCCTGGAAAATTTTAAATTGGGAAAGACTGGATTAGCCTGCAAATGTTTCCCAGACATACACACTCAGGAGAAGCAGTATGTCATGGAACCATGAAATGGTTTGGGTTGGAAGGGACCTTAAAGATCATCCAGTTCCAACAATCATCTGCCCTCACCAGCACAGCAAGACACCAGCCATTCTCCTTCTTCTTCCACATGCACTTAATTCTTCTTTATGGACATTTCCTACCCATTTTCAGCCTCTCTGACCCTCTGCATGGACCACCAGCCTGCTCTAAGGGGACGAGCCAACTGTGGGTGATGACAGGGCAATAAATGCACAAGAATCCCTCAGCCTGGGCCAGAAATCCCCCCATGCCACATGCTGCGGAGGGTCACAGAAACTCTTTGGGTATTGACAAGACTTCTGCAGCAGTAATTAATAATTTGCAACCCATCTATCCACTGCCTTTCTCTCCAAAGGGCAGGAGTTTATCTGCAACCCACACGCGAGGGCAACAAGGCTCAACTGGCCCTTCCCCTTCCAGCTTTACAAACGAGTACTGGAGGTGCCACAGCCTGGTCCTTCATGCCACAGAGCCCCGAGCTCATCAGGGGTGAGAGGCATCCGAAAGGACTTTGTTTTGAGGAAAAGAGGCAAGAGTAAGAGAAGTGTGATGACTCCAGCGGCCCAACCAGAGGGTTGGGAGTGGATGAGGAGCACCTTGTGCCATGCAACACAGCCAGGCAAGGACACGGCAGCCACGGGGACTTCTGCAGAAAGCAAACGTCCATCCCAGGGGTGTGTGACAAGCAGGAAGCCGGATCCGCAGGGAAACGGGGAAGGAGGTGGAACAAGTACCCCTAGAGCAGGGCTACTCCACCGTTCCCACAACTCCTTCCCACCAAGGCGGAGCCCAGGGAGTCTTCTCCCCCTTCTGCTGACATGCCAAAAAAGGTCCTCTCACACTTTGGATACAGTCACTTTGCCAGGAAGGGTCTAGAAAAACGAAACAAAACCTGGTATTTTGCCCACGCTGCCACACGACCCCAGACAAGGAGCCCAGGGCAAGTCAATGGCTCGGTGAGGAGGTTGTTGGTACAACCCAGGCTCTGCTCTTTGGTGGCCAACAACATATTCAAGAGGGTTTCCAGCTGGATATCTCCTGTGGTTCATCTCCTGCTGTGGAGAGATCCTTTTCAGGCAGGTAATCCAGGTGAGGACAGGTCTTCTCCATCTTTCCTCCCTCCCTTGCACAACAGGAGTACTCGTGCTACAAATCAGTGTGAGGTCACCACCATGTTCATGGCATCAAATGGAACCTCCTGGTGGAAATTCAGACCTGGCCACCAGCGTGGGAAGAAGGAGATGGCAATTTGGAGGCAGTGGGCTCAGAACTGGGAGAAGTCACCTCTCACGATGACACCAAAGCACCTGCTTTTCTAATGGAGCCCTGAAACACCAGGAGCTTTTCCTGCAAATTTTTTTGCCAAGGTCTTTAACTTCCCAGACCACATCAGTGCAGCCTCTGCACCAAGAGGGTGAGAGACCCCTGCAGTAAAACCTCCTCTTTGGCCCAGGATTCATTCAATGCTCTCACATCCAAGAAACCAATCCATATAAAACCAGGTTTTAAAGGTCCTCCAGAGGACAGAAAGGATTGACTGTCCCAAAGAAGCTTCCTGTGATATTTTATCTTTTTTATCTTATTTTTATATTTTTTAAGGCATTTTGGGACAAGAGGAGGACTGGTACAAGAAATCAAAGAAGAGTAGAATTAATAAAGACATCATTTCACCCATTCAGGCTGGAGCTCTGAATTTGTTCCGTCTTTCTTCTACTTCACATGGGGGGAGGAGGAAAAAAAAGCAAATACCGATTTTTATAACCTTTTTCTGGACCTTGCTGGCCAAGACTGTGTTTTTGCAAGAAATCCTCTCCCCTGGCTGGCTTTCCCCCAGCAAACTGCACATACCTGATCGAGATAAGTACAGTACCTTGCATACCTGCGGGACCAAAATCTTGCCTGGTGAGGAAGACGGCGTGGTCGTGGTGCTCGGCGTGCTCCGGGTCCGAGCGCTGCTGCGAGTGAGCCCAGCGACACACCTGCTCCAGGCTCCGGGACGGGTTCCCTCGCTCGATCAGGCTGACAGACTGGGAAAAGGATCAAAAACTCAGCGGTGGGAAGCAAAGGAAGACACACTGCCCTTCCCCCCCCCCGGCCCTTAGTTGGAAGCCACGGGAGGTTTTGTCCCACAAAGTTCCAGGTGGGAGACAAGAAGCTGCAGGAGGACTCGGGTGTGAACAGTGGTGAGCTGAGAGCTCGCCTGGATTCAAACATCTGCTCATCATTTTCCTACATCATCCCCTGAACCGCAGCATAACTGGGCAGAGCAGCTGCCTCCAGCACTGGCTTTCGGGAGGATAAATCATCCTAAAGGGAGCCCGGCGGGTCTCATCCCTCCGGTTATTGGCCATAACACCACAGCTCCAAATCCCTTCCCCTCCATAAATCATTCTCCAGCACAGAGCACAAACACCACTGGGAGGAAGCCAGACAGATTATTGGCTTTCTCAGGTGGAGACGATGTTCCTGGTCCCACAGAAACCTCCAAAAATGGGCCACCCTCCATCCTCAGAACCAGCCCCAGATCTCTTGGATTTCTGCCAGCTGAGCATATTTCTATAACAAGGAGGGGTTTTTCCAAGACCTAAAGGGTCTTATTTGTGGATCACACACACATACACACAGACACATCACCATGTTGAATCATTAACACCTTCGTAGAACACTTCGGGTGGGATAGGGGCTTGCCCCAAAAATAGGAAAATCACACTGTTGTAAAGAAAATCTTCTGGCTGCCATGCTTGAACAAGCCTTAAAAAATAAATCCAACCTGAGAAACATTCCCAGGAAACCTTCACATGCTTTTTCTGTCCACGCCCAAGCCACTTGAGAGCTGGACAGCCAGCAAAGCCTTCCAGGGAGCCGAGTCGAGGCTGGGACACAGGAGATCCCAGCCTCATCTTCTCCTCACTAATATCCAGCTCCTATCAATTTGGGAAGCCACCTTTTTCTCATCATCTATCCTTGAGCTCCTGAGGAAGCCTCTCGTATTTTTCCCACATCCCAGAGGACGCAGATGACGGCAGACCGCAGCCACCCGCCATCTCCCCAAGGACTTCTCCTTGGCTATGGGACTCTCCAGACCTTCAGACTCCAAAATCCAGGCCAAGAAGGGTTCAAATTCACCCCTGCTCAGCACAGTTGTCATTTGGGCTTCAGCAGCTTACCTGAACAGCCACATTTTTCCAAGCCAGGGCTTACCTAAGAACTAAATATCACAGCAGGCCCTGCCCAGCACACCCCAGCACCGTATTTACCTGCCGGTACCCCACCATGATCATCCTGACCAGCACAATGTTGATGTGAACGCCCAGGGACTCATCGTGATAAATCTCATCCACCTGAACAAAGGAGGGAAATACAAGAGGGAAGAAATTAAGATCATCCCCCAGCCCTCAAGCCCCTCATGTCCTCCACACTCCCACGTCCAGCACCCAACCCTGCTTTCCAAGACCAGATGCAAAGATCTCACCTCCCTCCCCCCACCCCCAGTGTGGTCATTTTTTCCCCTGTGTAAAAACAATAAAGTCAAAAGGCCAAGCTGGAATAAGGCAGTTTTTCCCAGCATAGGTGGCTCAGATGGTCAGTAGCATCACCCACGCCATCAAGAGAGTGGAGGAGGGCTGAGTTTCCTCCACCGCATCTCGCAATGAGCTGTTGCCCCTTGGGAATACAAATTCCTCAGAGGGCTGGAAATGCTTCAGCCCCCAGCATCCTTGCGTGGTGGGAAGGAAAAATGCCTTTTTGAGGAGAGGCAAACCATTGTATCAAAGCAAGGGCATTACTCAGTCACATCAGTGAGTCAAACTTGACCTACCGCTTCAGAAATCCTGGGAGAGGACAACACAATGAGAAGAACAGGGAAGGCTTGTGAGTCAATGAGATTTCTATCACCCCGGGCTATTAAAAATGACTTTGCAAAGGAAATAATGAGCCATGACCTTTTCCTTCCGCGTTTCCAGGATGAATAAACAAATTCTACTCCTAAGTGCTACCAAGGGAAGAAGAATCCAGGTGGGAAAGACCTCTGAGAGCCAAGTGTGGTGACAGCCACTGAGAGAGGCACAGAGTGAGCAGCCACAAACTCATGTGAGATCCTGCACCACCTTCACCCACCTGCAAAGCACGTGTGAAAATGCAGCCGGGGGGAAAAAAAATGATTTTTGAGAATGGGACCCCCATTTTCCCCCAAAAAGTCTCCAAAATGAACAGTTCCACAAATGGAGGTTCACTGCAGAAGTTGAGGAAACCATATTAAAACCATTTTTAATACTGACTGGAATTCACATTTAAATGAAAATATATTTTTTCAGCTTTGTCCAAGAGGGAAATAATTTGCCTCAGCTCTATCATAGCTTTCCAGACTCAATGAAGATTATAAAATCAGATTTATGAAGCTTTTCTGTTTTTTCCCCACCTCCTTTGGGGTTTTTTAAGCTCACATCAAGGGATGGGTGACAAGTACCCTTTTACTGCTGCCCAAATCCAAGTCAGCCATTTCCCAGTGTGTTTTACAAGTCCCCCAATTTACAGCCTGTGTATGTGTTTGAAACACCCACTCAGGCCATTTTTAAACCCAAAACGCTGGCATTAATGTTTTCCCACGATAACTAACACTCCTGGGAGGTGGTTCCAAGATATGCAGAGAGGTAATGCAGATCCTGAGCCTTGAATGGAGCAAAATTGATTAAAAAAAAGTAAAATCAATCAATAAACTGCCAGTCCACCCCCATTAACTCATCCCTTTGGATGCACAGGCTGCGAGAGCCGCAGGGTTATTTATTTATCAGTGTGGAAAGACAACACTGGTCAACTCATTCTCAGGTCACCCCTGCTTCCCGTGGTTGGGATGCTCCTGCACCTTTCAAAGGTAGTTTGTAAAAATAACGAGCATGTGATGGATTCCTTCTGATCCCAACTCTGTTTTTGGGGATGTGCACAGATGGGAGGAAGGCTGTGCAGCGTTGCAGCTGCAAACATTACTCAGAGTTACAGTCCCACCAAAGCATTAAGGATCCACTCCAGCAAGGAGTTTCAAATCCCCAGGGATGTGAGGCTCAGCCCTGGGTTTTGGGCTCTGGGAGGCTTTGGCAGCCCAGAGAAAACCTCATCAGATCTGAGAAGTCTCACATCAGGAGTTTGACCTGTTACAAAAATATTCCAGCCTTAACATGTGTCCTGTGAGAGTCAATATAAAAGTATGGGAAAGGGGGGAGAGCGGGAGAAATGAAAACTATGCTTGGAAAGATGGAGAGATGGACCTGGGGAGTGGTGCAGGGAACAAGGAGGGAAACACAAGCACTTCCTTCACTTTCCCAAACTTTTACACGTTTTCCTTCACCACCAGCACTTGTCAGGAGCTGGAGCTTCAAAGTGGCAGAAGGCAGGGTTAGATGGGATATTAGGAAGAAATTCTTGGCTGTGAGGGTGGTGGGGCCCTGGCACAAGTTGCCCAGAGAAGCTGTGGCTGCTCCATCCCTGGAAGTGTCCAAGGCCAGGCTGGACAGGGTTTGGAGCAACCTGGGCTAGTGGGAGGTGTCCCTGCCCATGGCAGGGGGATTGACTAGATGATCTTTAAGGTCCCTTCCAACCCAAACCACTCCATGATTCTAGGATTCTCCGGTCATCCACCAGCACTCTGCTGCTTTCCATTCACTAGGATGAACCACATTCCTGCCTTAGGGACTTCTCTGCCAGCCAGAGCTCCCGGCCAAGCCACTTGCTGTGACTGGGAGCATCCAGCAGTACAGACCTCTCCTTTCCCAGCTGCACAGGATATTTTGGCAAAATGCTCAGCAGATCCCACAGGCAGCAGGAAAGGATTCTCCATGACAACCTGGTGCAGCCCCAGCTGGCAAGAGGAGGGCTGCACCCAGGGCAGGAAGGAGCACGAGCAGAGCTGCTGTCAGAGCAGGAGCTTTGATCCATGGTACACAGCCCCCTGCTCTCAGCAATGGCTCTTCCCACCTGCAGGACCTACAAACAGTCCCCAGGTCTGAGAAGAGCTCCCTGGCCCAAACCATGCACCCTCAGGCAATATTAGATGCCCTGGGAGAAAAAAAAATTGGGAAACAGCAATATTTTTCACAAGCATTAACAAATAGATTCATCACCACCCTCCCAGCACTGTAGATCCTTCCTCAGCCTCACTGGAGGAGCAGCAGGACCATGAGCAGCTTAGAAACAGCTCATTAAAGGACTAAGACCAAGAAGCTGTATTATTCCAAGATGGGATTTAATCTCCTAAATCTTCCTTATAAAGCAGTGCTAAATCCCACCCTCCTCCAGCTCACAGGTACCCCCCTCCAGCCTCTGAACTGAAGGGTTAACCCTAAACCCCAGCCCCTGTTTAGTCTAGGGTTTAGGAAGGGATCTCTACCTAACTGATACTAGCTCAGCAGCAACCTTCAGGGTTAACTCAGAAAGCACTTGTGGAACCAGACTGCCCAAGGCTATGGACTTCCCTTAACAGCCAGACAGAAATAATTGATTGAGGGCAAAAAAAGTCATATCCAAAGGGCTTGGTGCTTGCTGCTGTGGGGACTGTCACCCAGGTTTTGGGGTTGCTGGGGACAGGGGAATCAGCAGGGCCAGCATCCCCTCAAGTGCTCCAGTGCCTCTGGAAGGAGAACAGGGCATCATCTCCTCTCTCCCCATCAGCCCACCCTGGAGCTGGTTCAGGCCAGCAGAGGGGATGGAAACCGGCCCAGAGAGCAGTTTGCAGGCTTGGCACAACTCCTCCTGCCCTCTGCAGATGCCATTATGCAAGTCAGTGTCTTCAGAGAAACCCCTTCCCCCCCGAAAAATACCTGCTCGGCAAAGGGCTCTGGCAAAGGGACCTACATCCCTGAAGACATGGGACAAAGATCTTCTTATCCCTCTTGCCCATGTGGTTACATGCCCAGCCTGTTTCACACTGTCACCTGGCAAGAAAGGCTCTCCTATTTATCTAAAAGGGAATTTTTCCACCTATAAACAGCCCAGCCCTTCAGGCTCGCTGTGAATTAAGGGCAAACCAGCCCACAGGACCTCCCCCATCGCCGCCACACCAAGGGGACAACACTAATATTTTACAATGAAAGGAACATTAAAACCCTGTGTATCCTCTCCAAAATGCTCAGTGAGCTCACCCTGTGCGTGGGACCCCCCTCAGAGCCCCGCTGGTGCCGGGAGCAGGGAATGCTGCCTACCTAAATCCCTGCAAGCCTCTGGCCAGCCCCGAGCCTGCAGCCCCAGACGCGAGATCCCGACAGCAAACCGCACTGGCAACGAGGTCTAGACCTCGCTGTTCTTCAGGGAAGGAAAACAAAGGGAGAGACACGAGAAGAATTTGCCAAACCAGCAGAACAGCTGACATTTCAAAACCCCGGATCGCTTACTCAGAACAGCCAAGTCATCTTTAAACTCCTTTCTTTTATTCCCTTCCTCAGTTTTCATGCTGGTGGATTCACCCTGAGCCTCTTTTCTGGGGCTGAGGGATTAGGAATGGAGGGGAAAGTCCCCCTGACCACATTTTTGGGCTTGCATGCCCTGTAGGGATGCACAAAGCTGTTGTCAGCACCTCTGCAAGGGCTGAGCAGAGGAACAGAGGAACAAGAGGGAAGGGGAGGTTTGCTCTGCAGGGCACAACTATAGATTTTATCAGAGCTCTCTCACCAACAAGGTATGTTGTCCCAAAAACACAGCAACAAGCACATAAGCCTATAGAGAGGGTGGGAAAAAGTGCATGGACACACAAGAGACATCAGAGGTATTTTTGTTATTATCAGTTAGCGAGGAGGGGACTCATGAACCCCTCTCTCCCACAAAAAACCCCATACACCAGAAGGACCAGAATTTTCCCATTATTTTAGATTGGCTTCCTGAAACAGCAGCAAGCTCATGCCTTGAGCAATCCACACTCCAGCTTGGCTTTTCAGATAAACCCAAGTTAAAATTAAAGCTGAAGGTTTAATTTTTTTCCCCAAACCCCCTCCTACGTGGGGTCTCAGTAGCACTCTTTGTTGCTCAGCCCTTAGGAACAATAATTTCAGCTGGAGTCAGGCAAGTCCCAGCCTGGAGAGGGCTCTGACTCATGGGGTTTCCCTAGTAACCTGAAACAATGGGAAAACACCAAGTACCTTTGCATCCTTAACCAAATCATGGGCAATATCCGACAAAAACCCAGCAGACTGGTTAAGGCCCAGGCTTAGCACAGCCCATAGCTTGGCTTCTCCCACTGGAGTGGGGCCATCCCCAGACTTGAGAGGATCGGGGACGAGTGGTGGGAAGTCCAGAGGAGAAAACCAAGGAGCCCAACTGAAGGACCAGAGGCTGCAAAGCAGAACAGGACACAAAGCATCTCCTCTCCTCCACCCCTTAAGTGGTGCTGGATCCCCTCCTGGTTCCCAGCCCTCGCTCCCAGCAGGCACTGTGGCTGGGGGATGCTAATTTTCCTTCAGTAACACCCCAATCCCAGCCACAGGCAGCAAGCAGGAGATGGGAATGGCTTCTCCAAGCCACCACAACACCAAATATTCATTCCAATAGCCCAGTGACAGGGAGAGGGACAAGGTTTGGTCGGGTGGACACCACGATGCTCAGCTCGGAGCACCAAGATGTGCTCAGCAAGCAATGGCAAAGGATGCATTTCCCAATCCCTCCAACCTGACCCCAAATTCCTGTGTGGCATCCGAGCTAAGAAGGGAAGGGCAGGCTGGGAACGCAGGCTGGGAGCTGGCAGAGAAGGCAGCCTGCCTGCAGGGAAGCTCTTAGGTGCACAAAAGGAGCAGTCATCCTCCTGTCAGCTTCCCAGGATGGACACAAAAAAAAAAAAAAAGAAGAGTTCTCCGTGACAAATCATTTATCACTGAGCCTCAGCTGACACCGAGTTCCTAATACAGGAGTCTGTGCCTTGGGAAGAGCCGCAGGACCCCACCTACAGCAGGGCTGGGAAGGGGCACGTGTCCCACCACCCCCTTGGCACCCAATGGAGACCCCAGAGAGAGCCAGGAAAGCTTATTATCAACTTCCAAGATCGCTGCCCCCTTTCCTTGGGATATATCTTGATAGGAAAACTCCTAGATGAGAAAACTTTCCCAACATCTCCCCGACTTACTCCAGCCCAGCTCATTAAGTCCTTTCCTCGTTAGAGGGCTGGCCAAGTCCCTTCTCCTTCCCCTCCAACTAATGGGATTAGTGTTCAGCTGTGTGGTCCCAGCACACTCCTCCCCACCACCTTCCTCTCTCCCTCCCTCTGCCATCCAGGCCAGAAAGCAGGACGCTCTTTTTTCTGCTGAATCGGGTATTTTAAGGAATCTGAGCCGGTAAGGAAATGAGGCGCGCTGAGGGAAGAGGAGGCGGACGGAGGTCACGGCAAAGCTGGGAAGAAAACGCACTAAAAACCAGAAAGAAAGAAGGGGGGGAAAGAATATACAGAAGGAAATAATGCTTGGGGGAAGTATTTGTTGCGTGTATTATCCCTGGGGTTTTTTTTCCCCCCTTTTATTGATGCTGCTTTTTTCCCCCCTTTATTTAATTCATTAAAGTCTCCAGCGCCGCCTGTAATTGAATAGGCAGCATCCTCCCTTCTCCCAGCACAGCATCCCATGCATTCACTCCCTGAAAAGTCCTGCCTGCAGGGAAGGAACCATGAAATGTGCCTGAAAACCAACCTTTTGATTAGAGCTGACAATCCCCGGGCGCGCAAACCGTCCCTCCCACCCCCCACAAGATGGGAAAGGAAAAATGACATCATCTCCGACCCCCATAACGTGGGAAGAGCCCGAGGTCAGAGCAGGGAACCCTGTGGCTTCCCACTTGCAGGAGGATTTAGTAAACCAACGGGAGAAACGTTCAGAGAGGGAATTTGAGTGATGCCAAGAGCAGCCGACCACAGGCATTGCGACAACGTGCCGGAGAATAAAACACTGCAACGAAGGCATTTGCTTCTTAAAGCCAACATTTTCTCTGTTTTGGAGCAGCCACATCACTCATCCTCCACCCCATCACCCTCTAATCCCTCAAATCCTTACCCCCATGTTGATAATTTCCCCTTCATTACCGAAAATATGGCAGAAATAATGCCCAAACCAACAACCAACCACCCAAAAACCAAAAGCACCTTCATAACTTTGTTATTTCTGAACTGGCTGAGCCTTTCCAACATTTTTCCATCACCACGTAAAAGAGTACTTAAAGAAAAATAAATAAATAGAGGTGAGGATGAAGCATGGAAAACAAAACAAAACTGGAAGAGAGAAAGAGATCCTTGAACATGTACCCTCTTTGCTGACATTCAGGTGCTGGCAGAACAAACCTCCTGTAAGATGGCTACCTGAATAAACATTGATCCCTCCACATCTCTCAGGACTCAGGGAATATGGATGTTTCCATACTAAAAAGGAAAGAAAAGGGATGTAGGGAACCAGCACAGGCTTCCCCATCCCTCCAAGTGAGGAGAGTTGCAGGAGCTGTAAAGTAGAGCTGCTCTAAACTCCTTTTCAACAGCACCAACACACCAGACCCTGCCGTTGGCCAGGGGAACATGATAGAGGTGAACACCAAAGGACTCTGCTTTCCATCCCTCCAGTTCCCACAGCTGTTAAATGCCAGAGCCAGTCTCGTGAAGGCACAGCCCTTCCTGCAGCACTCCTTCCCCTCCCAAACCCATTTTTTCCAAGGGTGACAGATTTGCAGCATCAGAAGAGCACTAAGCCAAGGGAAGGGTGGGAGTCACATCTTCCCCCCAGAAGCCAAGCCTTACTATGTTCATGAGGGTGAGGACGTAGTTCTGGACGTGCTCCTTGCCATGGAAGCGCACGACTGAGTCATCCACAGCCAGCAGGACCTCGATGTTGTAGTCATCCTTCCTGGCATGGCGCCTCTTGCGCTCCGTGTCCCCCAGGCGCTCCGCCAGCAGCTCCAGGGAGTTGGGGAGGTCACCCACCTGTGCCCCGGGCTCTGGGCAAGGCATGGAGGGCAGAAAAACAAACAGCCGCTGAGGTGACCTGGCACCACGGCGGCACTCCACAGAACAAGAAGTGAAGCAGGGAAAACAGACAGGATATTTAATTCCAAACAGGATATTTAACTCTGACTGGCTGCTCTGTGGTGCGGAAATGGCTCTGAATTGGAAGTACCAGGGCTAAAATGCACGTTAGTGGTTGGACTCTGATCCTAAAGGTCTTTTCCCACCTAAATGGTTCTGTTTGATTCCACAGTTCACAGAATCATCATAGAATCACAGAATGGTTTGGGTTGGAAGGGACCTTAAAGCTCGAGTTCTGTGGGCAGGGGCACCTTCTACTAGATCAGGTTTGCTCCAAGCCCCATCCAATCTGGCCTTGAACTGGGCAACAACTTCCAGTGCCCCACCACCCTCATTTCACAACATGGAGGTGATTAAACCAAGGCTGGGCTCCAAGCCCAGCATTGTCACTCCTTTCTTCTCACTAACAACCCAGCTGGCAGCTAAAACCAGTACGAGCCAGGGGGCACGTGGAAGGAGAAATCCTCTCCCCACTTATTCTCAGTTGCTGGGACAGAGCAGATTCCAGCAGCCCCTACCTTCAGGGTGGAGGTCGTGGCGCGGTGCGGCGCTGTCCTGCCGGATGGCCGACCGGCGATACACCACGTGGGCCCTCCCGTGCTCCTCCATCTCCTGCTGCCCCCTCTCCAGGGGCTCGATGAAGAACTCGTTGCTGTCTGTCCGAATCAAGCCAGCCTGGACTCCACAAGGAAATCAAGGGGAAAAAAAAGGTGTGGTTTTGTATAGGCACAGGCAGACACATACACTCAATACATGCGTTAAAGATTGATGCAGAACACACATGATTATGAAGACCAGCCCAAATAAACCTGTCTTGTTGCTGCTCCGTGACACTGGGATGGCTCTGTTACCATGCTAATCTATGACAACCCGTAATTTCTCCTGCAGATGGCAAAAAAAAATTTAAAAAGAAGGGAAAAACTAACCAACCAGAAAAACAAACAAACAAAACCAACCAAACAAAACAACAACAACAAAAAACAACCTGGATGAAATTCAAGTTATGTCTTTAAATGGCAATGAAACTCTGTTCTTCTCATCAGCGATGAGTTCTGCTGAACTCTGAACTCAAGGGATAACAGGATACACGCCACTTCACCTCCCTGCACCCTCCCCATCCCATTCCCATAGCGCCAGTGAGGAAATCTGCCATTTCACCAACCCTAAGAGCTGCAACAAGAAGAAGAAAAAAGAAACTGTCCTCTCTGCCCCACAAAGCGCTTGGGAATTAGCGCAGGGGAATCCCGTCGGAGGAGAAGCTGGAAAGCATTACAGTTCCACCTCCCAAACACAGGGAAGATCAATGAGAGGGCAAACATCACTGGAAATGTTGTCCTGGCTACCGACCTGCTCCTAATTAACACCAAGCTCCCATCAAATCCCTCTTACATCAGCCTGAGCACTCAAACCCCGCAGCGCCGGCCGGCTCAGACCTCAGGCAAGGAAAAGGATCACTGGGATTTGGCTTCCATCCCGTGGGCAGCACCCCTCCCAGCCCAGAATTTTTCACAGCTCCCTCCACCACGCACGCGTGCGTTCCTTCCTCCGGCGCTGCCCGCTCTTGAATTGCTGCCTGGAAAGCACCAGCAGAACATACGGATCTGTTCTTACAGCAAAGCCTTCGGCAGCTCGTACCTACTGCAGTCCTCATCAGGGTTTTGATTGGAACGGTTTCCATCAAATAAATCAAATAAAAATAAAATGTATACAGAGATGGATATTGGACAGAGCGTGGGGCTCTTCCAAGCCCGCATGGATCTTTGGATCCCCTTTCCATTCATGTACTGTTGGATTCATCATGGCATCGGCCAATCTGGCTCTCTTAGACTTCATCAAATTTCCTGCTCCACTTGGGTTTTAGTGGCTGCTTAACTCCTCTGCAAAGCACATTTTTGGCTGGTTTTGTTTTACACCTCCTTCCCGAGGAATGTAAGTACTTGCCTGACACACATATGTCAGATCCTTCCCACAGGAGACGTTCAGGTCAACCCAGGGCAGGACCTCTCCAGCCAGGGATTGTCCCACTACCCTCAGCCAAGGAGATCAAGACCACAGCCAGGTTCAATCAAGAATCTGGAGCACCAGGCAAGGTGGTGGCGATGAGGCAGAGAACAAGCCAGGGACTGAACCCACAAGTCAGGTTCAGTGATAGCTGAAGATGGGGCAGGTCACAGAATCATGGAATCAGTAAGGCTGGAAAAGCCCTCTAAAATGATCAACTCCAACCGCTCTCCCAGCACTGCCAAGGCCACCACTAAACCATGTCCCCAAGCACCACATCCATACGGCTTTTAAGTCTCTCCAGGGTTGGTGACTTCACCACTGCCCTGGGCAGCCTGTGCCAGCACTTGACAAGCCTTCCCACGAAGAAATTTTTCCTAATTTCCCAGTCTAAGCCACTGCCCTTAACTGTATTACAAGAGAAGGAGAAGAAGCAACCCGTGCCCCAGGAGGAGCTTTGCTGGGACACCACCCCCCCCTCCCAGCCCTGCCACGGGGCGTTTCACCCCGGACCAGGCACCCCAAAGCCGGTTTATGGGTTTAGGGCGAAAGCCGGGACTTGCTGAGTCAGGCGGCCGGAGGAAAGCTGTGCCGCCGCGCCGGGGCAAGGCTGGATTAAAATGTGAAAGAGCCTGGTCCCGAGCCACAGTCCACTTGGGTCTGAGCTGCTCTACAGCTCGTGACTAATTACAGATGGCTCAAGAAATAAAGCAGCCCAGGCTTTCTCCCAAAGGCGGGATGCAACGCGCTGCCGATGCTGGTGGTGACCGACGGCAGAGCGGATAATGAGAGGATCTGTGTGCCCATCTGATCAGAGCAGCCCAAGGAATGAAACAGAAACCACAGAGCAGTCACCCTGGCATTTACAAAAATAAATTAAAAACCAGAACAACTCAAAAAACACCATTGCAGGCCATGCACCAACCTGCCTGGTCTTAAAGAGGAGCAGCTCAGGTTGTATTTCAGCATTTTTGGAAGGTTATAACTGTAGGCAGCCAATAAGAAAGGCCAGACACCACCTAGAAAGCCATACTCAGCTTTCCTTGGGCTCTTTCCAAGAGATCAATCTCATCCTCAGTGATCAACTTGCCATGTGCTCTCCCATCCTCGATTTTAATTTGGTTTAATAATACCAAATGGAATTAAATTGATTGGTGGGACCATCACTCCTAACATGAGATGCTGTCTGCAGCTCTCAGTGAAGGTAAGCACCAAACTAGAAAATGGCCCTTAAAGACAATTCCACTGGAAAGAGGGAAAACACACTTTTTTTTTTCTTTTAAGGAAAACACCAAGCTCACTCCTGTCAGCTCACAGAGGGTGAAGTCTCTTTTCCAGCTCTCCTGAAGCTCACCAGGCTACAGGAGAGGTGAAATCCAGCCTCACTAAGGGGGAGCCCCCCAGAACCCTGGGTAAGCAGCTCGTCCACCACCACTGGGTGAAAAGCTCCAACTCCCACAGGAATTCAGGAAATTCTGACACTTCAACAGAGTTGAGATGTGGAAAAATTAATAAAGCTGCTGCACTCAGCCAGAGAAGCAAACAGTGCCGAAGGGGGAAGCCAGCTGCGTGCATAGTATGTATTTTTCCTATGAGATTCACACTTAATTTGGACAAAAAGTCCTAGAAAACCAGGCAGTGTGAACACAGACACCATCACTAACACCACTGCCCTTCCATCCAGGGACTGCCTGGTGAGAGCATCGGGGGGGTCAGTAGAAGGGTGCATGGTCCACAGGTGCTCCATCACCATTCTGGTACCTCTCTGTCTGCAGCACAGGCTTTGCAGCCTATCAAATTCAACACTTTGCCCTCCTTGACTCCTCTTCCCTGCTCTTGGTGCCAAGGCAAGAGATTTTTGGGATGGCTACAGACCTGCTTTGTCAGGTGACACAAGCCAGGACTCCTGGTGGGGTGAGGACATGGAGGCACTCTCACTGCTGATTGATTAGGTCTTCAGCCCAAACAGGGCTTGGTTTGCAACTCACTGCCAAAAATTAGGATTATCCCCTGGGAGAAAAGCCCTTGCACTCATATAAGACCCAAACCAGCTGAGGCCAGTGGGACATCTCACACCTTCTTTCTTCCCAAAATTAACCCTACAGTAATAGGAGCTGCAAGGAAAATCCTCGAAGACAAATGCTTTTTTTTTTTTTTTTCACTGGGGCATCAGTCTGGGGACTATTTCTCCCCTCATTCCCTATGAATTACTGTTCCTGAGGTCTTTGGTGCTCTGCTTATCTGCTGCCACCCATCTGAAGCAAACCAGGGTGCCAGGGCTGGAAAAGGCTGGCTCTACAGTTTACGGGACTATGGCAAAAAAACCCGGAGGAAAAGTCAGCCACAAAAAGCAAATAGGGTGCCTATGGGTGATAATCCTTCACCCATCTCTGCAACCAGCAAAGCAGGAAGGAAACAAGGCCAAGCACACACTGCTGAAGCCAGCATGGAAAGATATGGGATGCCTCCGCTGCAGCGAGACGTGTCCGCCGGGGGAGATTTCTGTCTAACGCTACTTTACCAGTTAGGAATTTGGTGGCTTAGATCAGCTTTGAAATTATGTTATGGGCGACAGCACCTTCCCACCCTGGTACGAGACACCCTTGCAAAAAAAAAAAAAAAAAAAAATCAAAGAGCAGATTTTCACGGGTGGATGCCCACGGCCAATAACAGCCGAGGAAGGTGCCACGGGCTTGGCATCTGGGAAAAGGATCGGCTCCACTTACACGGCTAAATATGGACTGAGGAAAGGCTTTGTGCTCACTGTCTTTTTCAAGAAACTGGGTTGTTTTTTTATCCCCCCCTCGTTATTTATAATCTCAGTCTCTGTTTGTACAGGGGCTGATCTCCTTGTGTACACAGCCTTCATCCACAGCATCCCAGAACGCTTCCTCCGACCGCAAACCAGCGGCCGAGCGCGGCCCTGCGCCTCCCACGCACGCTATACTGGGACACCAAAGCCACAGTCCCCTCCCCGAGCTGGTGGATAACTTCCAGAAAAAGTCCACAGCAATTCCAGGGTCCCTGATTAAGGAAGAGCTTCCTCCAGCTGGTGCTCCCCACATTAAGTTAGTGGGGAGTACCTTAGTAGCAGTCCTGACTGCGTACAGCCCTCCCAGATGTTCTACTGCTTCTCTGACAGATCATAAATGTCATCCTCCCATCCCATCCACACCCAGCACCATGTTTCTGTTCTGTTTCTTGCTCCATTTCCTAAATCAAGCTCTCTTCACTGCTTTTTGGGGGTCCCCTTGGGCTCCCAACTCCTCCAAAGCAGATGGATCCTGAGCAGACTGTAGCTGTCAGACTGACTCAAGCCAGAGGATCACACAGCCAGAAAATCCATGGAAGAGGGAAGACAACTGTGACATTGGAGGTATCACAAAATCCTCTTTACTGGGGGAGGAGGAGAGCCCTTGCTTGGGCTCTGTCCTCCCAGCCTCTTCCCCCAGCCTCATGCCCTTCCCCAGATGATGGGAAATTCCTGGTTGAGGTCAGGATATCTATTTGTTTGGCCACAGAGCAAAAAATACGCTGCAGGAAGAAAAGTCCTTGTCCTGGAGAAAGGTCACTTCTTCCTTTATGTGGGCTCAAAAGGGTGGGCTTGGGGTACTGTGGGTGGCCAGAGAGGCATGGCTCCATAAATGCACATGGAAATACATCCTGTGGCACAGGCTACATCCTAACCCAGCACTGCTGCTACTACCTGCGGCCAAGGGATGGCAACAACAACAACAAACCCCACCTGGGGAGGTGTGCAAGGGGCTGAGAAGGGAAAAAACTTGGGGCTAAAGCCTAGGAAAGTTAAATTCTGGATGTTAACAGTATCCAGGGCTCCAGGGAAGAGAAATCCCCTTGCTGCTTCTCAGCTGTCAGCTGCTTCCAGCATCCCTTTGCTCATGATGCCAAAGGGAGTGAGACTGTCCACGGAACCTCCACACTTCAGGTCTCCATTCCAGACACATCACTTATTTGCTGGAGCTATAGGAAGTGCCTTTAAAGCTCCCAAGCCTGCCCAAATTCGCCAGCCCCAGTGCAATCCGTGTCACGGAGAAATGTCTGCAAGTCCGCAGCCTCAGCAAAATTCCCAACAGGATGCTCCAAAAGGTGTGGATTACGTGCTGAAAAAATTTAACTACTATATGTAGGCAAAATATGTATTTCTGGCTACGCTGCTCTATCATTTCTGCTTGTACAGTAACACTGGGTGCTGTATAAAAAGAAAGGAATGCCAAATTTTTTTGTGCTAGTAATCAAAACTGGCTTAAGGAACTCCCAGAATAAAGCAACCAAAAAAGAAATATATAAAAAGAACCAAAAGAAAAAAAAGTTCAAAATAAGACATTTATTCCAACCCAGGAGTAACACTGAGTGGTACCAGGAGGAAACAGCCAACGCTGGCACCTAAAACAAGACTTAGACTGGCTCAAAGGAAATCTGAAGGGCAACGGGCCAAAGGTATTAAAAAATGAGCGATTCCCCAAGCGTATCAGAGGTAGGAAACCCACAGGCAGAGCAGACGCCGGGGATAAGGAGGTAACAGAGCCATTTGAAGGAATTAAAGCCCTGTGGCAGCAAGTTACTAATGCTGAACTGTGCTCAGAAAGCCAGGAGGCTCTGAGCATGAGAATGATTAGAAAAAAAAAAAAGAGGTCTTCCCTTAGAAAGACACTTGGTGGAAGCCAGACTGCACCTAACAGTGATTTCAGGAGATGCTCGAGCTCACTCAGCACCACTTAAGAGGTGGGAAATGCAGAGAAAAAGTTCCTGGGGCAGTCCCAAGGTAAAAGACAGGCAAGCAAGGACAGAGCAGCACCACCCAGTGTGGTGTACCCATTCCAGAGGCAGGGCACAGCCCGTGGGTGTAACAACATGTGGCACAGTCCACCTCCGGGCAGGAGGCAGCTCAAGCGTGGGACTGGCAATTTTTTCAAGCCCTTTAAATAAATATCCCTGCTCAGCCAATGGAAGGATGGAGCAGGCAGGTAGAACCCTGTGTCAATGTGGGGAAAGGCAACCTGCCAGGTAAAGGGCGATGAACGCCATGGACACCTAAAGCATCACCAAAAAAATCAGGTTTCAGGACACCACCATTCACCTCTTAAGAGAAAACCACACCAAAACACAGGCACCACCCACGAGCCGCCCCGCCAGCCCCCAGCTCACCAGTCCGTCGCAGTTGCTGATGGCCACGGCGGCT